ATAGCTGTTCCCTGCAAAGAGTTTGTCAACCCGGAAGCATTTTAAAAGCATTGAGAGCCAGAGACCAGTTTTCATTGCTTTAAAACAGATAGTGGTAATGGCTTATATTTCCAAATTGCAAAACATTTTCTTCGCAATGACCAGTGAGATTGATAATATGATCAAGTATTTTTATCTCCATTTACAGATGAGGAAACTGAAATTCAGAGAAGTCCAATGACTTGTCCCAAAGCACACAGAGTACTAAATGAGTGACTAGGAAGTGTCAAAAGGTAGAAATTGAACTGGTCTCCTAACTTCAAGTCTAATGATTAAGAACATGCTGCTTCTCTGACCTCCGGAGAGGTGGTAGTGACTTAAAATAGCTAATATTTCTGATTTTTTTTAAAGTTACATGCTGTGTCCCTCCAGACTCTCAGTTTAAGCTGAAATTCTGGTCCAGCTGCTGTCTTGAATAAATACTGCCATCGTGTGGGGAGAAATGGGACAATGAAGTTAGTCTCCATCTCCCTAGCAAGGCAGCTAGAATGACATCATTTGTGTCTCCCCCTCACCCCACCCCAATCCCCACATACACACAAAGGCAAGTATGGGAGCCTTTAAGAAACCCACATAAAGCAACAAAGCTAAGAATTTACAATTCATGAAATCCTAAAAATTAAGACTGACTACAAAAAAAAAAAAGCTATTCCATGATGCTTGATTTCCAGTTCTGGTTTCTGATGCTGGATAAATAAATATATGCTTAATAAATGTATGTTGATTGAAACAGATTACATTTCTTGTTGATAATTGCCTACCTTGTCAACAGACTGTATACATTATTCCTGACTTCATTTACAGTTGTTTATACTGTAAGAATTGGGAGAGGCTCTGTATCCCCACCCCAAATGATGTAAACAAAGAAGGCTCAGACTTGTCTATTGAATCAGTCAAAAGCATAAACTAGGAACTAACAAATCTTTGATTTAGAAGGAATGAAGTACTTGGATGATTGGATGAAAGTAGATGACGCAACCTAGGAAATATTTTGTCATTGGCTGGAAGATCACACAAACCTTTGGGTCTATTTGTAGTACAATAAGTTTGGGAAGTGTTCATTTCAGGGGCAAAGCAATAAAGCTTTGACAACTTCCAGGAGATCCTCAAAAGAGGCAGACTTTTTCACCTGGTTGGGAAGGAGGCAGAGTGATCCCAGAGGGAGCATTAAGCTTACCTGGTGATAACCTTGTGAACTTCAAAGGGGCAGAAGATGGAAGATCTAGCGTTCCCACTGGCATGGGTACCAGAGTCCCTGGCTCCAAGAGACATAGACAGACACGCTGAGGATAAATGATATGCCACAGCTCCCGCCTTAGTTCAGGTCCTCGTTGCTTCTCTCCTAGGTGATTGTAATGGCCTCCTGACTTTCCTCCCTACCTTAGATCTCTCCTCACTTTAGTCCATACTTCACCCAGCTTCCAGTGATCTTCCTAAGGCACAGCTCTGGCCACTTCACTACCATATTCAATAAGCTCCACTAGCTCTCAGATCAAATACAAGCTCCTCTGTTAGCTTTCAAAGCTCTTCACAACCCGGCCCCAACCTATCTTTCCAGCCTCTTTGGACACAACTTCCCCTCCTGGCATCTATACTCCAGCCAAACTGCCCTTCTCTCTCTTTTGCTTAAAGACACGGCTCAAGTATCATCTTCCTGGCATGAAGTGTCTCCTGTTCCTTCCATCTACCAGGGCCCTCCTTCCTCATCTACCTTGTGTTTTAACTACTTTGTGTATATTCGTAGGTCTTTATATCTGTGTATATTTATACACATACTTGTTGTCTCATGTAATTAGAATGTAATGTAATGTAATAGAATTTAAGGGCCTGGGGCAGGTAGGTGGTGCAGTGGATACAGCACTGGTCCTGGAGTCAGGAGGACCTGAGTCTCAGACTAGGCACTTGACACTTACTAGCTGTGTGACCTTGGGCAAGTCACTTAACCCCAATTGCCTTGCCAAAAATAATAATAATAATAATATTTTTTTCTTTCTTTTTTTTTTTTTTAGGCGATTGGGGTTAAGTGACTTGCCCAGGGTCACACAGCTAGTAAGTGTCAAGTGTTTGGTCTGAGGCCGGATTTGAGCTCAGGTCCTCCTGACTTCAGGGCCGATACTCTATTCACTGTACCACCTAGCTGCCCCAATAATAAGATTTTTTAAAAAAGAATGTAAGGGCCTTATAAAGAGGAATTGTTTCATTGTTTGTACTTGGATCCTCAGTACCTAACACACTTGCTGTTGCTCAGTCGTGTTTGACTCTGTGATCCCATGGACCAAAGCACACCAATATTGGTCATGGGGTTTTCTTGGCAAACATACTGGAGTGTTTTGCCATTTCCATCTCCAGTGGATTAAGGCAAACAGAGTAACTTGCCCAGGGTCAAGCCAGCTAGTAAGTGTCTGAGGCTGGATTTGAACTCAGGTCAGCACTCTATCCACTGAGTCACCTAGCTGCCTCCTACCTAACCCATAGTAGGTACTCAATAAATGCCTGTTGATTGACTGAGACAGGCTTAGAATTCAGTGAGATGAACCACTGATATATTGTTTGGATAAACCAGGGGTAGGGAACCTTCAGGCTCAGGGCCACATGTGGCCCTCTAGGTCCTCAAGTGCCTTTTGACTGAATCATTCAGGATAAACATAATTTTTTTTTTTATTTTTAGGCAATTGGGGTTAAGTGACTTGCCCAGGGTCACACAGCTAGTAAGTGTCAAGCGTTCAGTCTGAGTCTGGATTTGAACTCAGGTCCTCCTGATTTCAGGGTCGGTGCTCTATCTACTGCACCACCTAGCTGTCCCTTGGGATAAACATAATTGTTTTGGACATGGATATGTGGAAACAACATGCATAAGACTATCAATTTAGATATTTGAGCAATACCAAAATTTTATCCAGCTTTCGCTGTTTCCAAGTAGGGAAATCCAAAGGAAAAAATGAATGAAATTATATTTATAGTTCCTTTGAGCAAATTCAATTCACTTAATTTCAATCATACCTTAACCCACTTTGTATTTTCCCATTCATCAAAAAATTTACCAACTCATCCCTCCCACAAGAGCTATGCAAACCAGGAGTCAGAAGACCTGGGTTCTAGTTCCAACTCCAGCACTAACCAGATCTAAGAATCTGGGTGGATTACTTAATCACTGTATATGACAAGGGATGGACTTGGAATCAATAGGTTTGTGTCTTGGCTTTGCCACTTACTTACTATACGATCCTGGGCAAATCATTTTCTCTTTTAAACTGCAGTTTCAAATTTTGTAAAATGCCCCTGCTTTCCAGCCTACTTCTCTATAGATTTTGGAGATTTTACCCTTTGGTACAAACTGGGCCTCTCTCTTGCTTAGAATTGAGATCTTCTCTAGCTCCCAGGAAAGAGTTCATTTACTCTTATGTATTTTCCAGCTTAGTCTAATCTGTAGAATGTCTGTTTCCGTTTGCTATTTTGCTTGGACAGATGAGTTTATTTGCTATTCACTATTTGTGATGGTCTTTAGCGTAAGTAGCCTTTCTTTGGTGGGAAGGGATTGCCAAGTATACCTTGAAATTAAATTGCTAACATGCAAAATGGGGGTATAGTTAGGTCATTTAATATCTCAAAGCAAAATTTTCCTCTGCTGTAAGATGGGGACAGAAATGCCTGCATCACTTAACTCAAAGGATTATAGTCAAGAAAGTTCAATAGAATCTAGATCTAGAGGTAGAATGTGTGTGTATAAAATATATATAATGTGTACATTGATATATTCCCATATGCTGTATGTGCATGTATGCTTATATTATAGACATGTATATATACATATATGTATATATTTTATATGTGTGTACATATACACACACACGATGCTAGGAGTTGTGGTACATGCCTATATTCTAAACTTCAGTGGGCTCTGCACATTGGATTTCTGCACCAAGTTTGGTATCAATCTGATGAGACCCCCCTCCCTGGAAGCATCGATGGAAGGGCACCAAGTTGCCTACAGGGTGGCAAACTGGTCCAGGTAGGAAACAGAGTAGGTCAAAGCTCCATGCTGATCAGCACTAAAAATGGACAGTGAGTAGCCTCTGAACTTCCAGCCTGGGCAAGATGGGAAGAACCAATCTTTAACAAAACAAAATAAATATATATACCCATATATGCCTCCAAAATGCCCATTTAGTAGGTAAAGGATAGATATATCCCATTTTAAATATATGTAAAATGGGGTGGGTATGTCTGTGTGTATATGTGTGTGTATCATAAATATATATTTATATATTTTATATATATATATATACTATCACTATTGACGTACAGTTAAAAAAACTCAGTCATAAAAAAAGGGGGCAGCTAGGTGGTGCAGTGGATAGAGCAATGGCCCTGAAGTCAGGGGACCTGAGTTCAAATCTGACCTCAGACACTTGACTCTTACTAGCTGTGTGACCCTGGGCAAGTCACTTAACTCCATTGCCTAGCCAAAAATAAATAAATAAACAAAAATTTAAAATTAGAAAAATAAAACAAAACTCAGTCATGGTCTATACACCAGCATCCAGAATACTTGCTCATTAAAAACAAAGGATTCAGCAGGAAGCCAAAGAGTAAGGTAACAGTTGAACAAATGCTTCCTTGCTCCTTTTCCTTAGAAAATAAAAAAAAGAGCTGAAATTTCTGGCCCCGAAGCAAGCAGTAATTGGCATAAACTTCAGGGGATGCTGTGGTCCACAATCCTCAAAGTGGGTTGAGAAAAAAGTAAATACGGAGGACAAATTGCAGGTCTGATTATGATTTGAAAACGGTAACAACAGCAACAACAACAAAAGTCCTACAACCCCATTTGTGGCAGTGCAAATCCATTATAAATCATACTAGCAAAAGTAGGATGACCCCTTGTCAGGAATGTCACAGTGAGCTTCCTCATCAGGCACAGACTGGTGCTAGGTTTGTAACCTTCAAATGCTGCCACTTGTTACCTGCGCAACCGTGGGCAATTGTCTTCACCTCTCCAGGCTTCAGTTCCCTCATCTGTAAAATAAAAGTATAGGACTTGGTGGCCTTTTAGGTCCCTTTCAGCTCTGTATCTATGACCAGGAACCAAGTCTACTTGGTGGCCTCTGAAGTCTCTTCCAAACCTGGGACTCTCAAATACAGTACAATGAAGAATCATCTAATTCCTCTCACTTCTATTTTGCTACCGATGTGGATAAATGGGTTTCTTGTCTAAGTACTATGTATTTTCATCGTAGAACTGGTATTCTGTGCGAAAGGGATCAAACCTCAGACGTAAAATTTGGGGCCTTCTATCCCACCAATAATGAACAGCAATCAGAAGTTAGCTTGAACCCAAAAATCACACCCCTCCCACAGGTAGGGAACCTGCGGCCTCAAGGCCACATTCAGCCCTCTAGGTCCTCAAGCATGACCCTGTGATTCGGTCCCCACCCCTGTCTGGCCCGGACTAACAATATTTAAGGGAGCAGACAGATATAATTCCAGCCCAGTACCCTTTCTCTCTAATGAGAGCAGAATGGCCAAACCGTCTGATCCCTAACTTTCTGCTTCCCCTCCTGGCAGGAATTAAAGTCTCCCCTGGAGACAGATGGGGAAAGAAAAGGCTAGAGACTCTGCCTCCCTTTAAGCCATACAACAACACTCCCATACTACATATGGGGTATAGTCCCTCACTACGCAGGTTACAAAGACTAGACTATAATCAGCAGTTCAGGTATCATCTTCTACATGAAGCCTTTCCTAATCCCAACTACTAGTGCCCTCCATCTCAAACTACCTTGCATTTACCTGTTTGTATGTGCGTGAGTGTTATTTATTAATTTTATATAGATGCTGTACATATGTTTTTATGTGTACCTGTGTACTACCCCATTAGAAGGTCACCTCATTTTGAGTAAAGACCCCTTCATTCTTTACACTTGTATCCCCAGGGTCTGACACATAGTAGGTGCTTAATAAATACTTTTTGATTGACTTTAAAAAATTATAAGCAACTTCTCCACTGTTTGCATTTATGCTCTCTAGGCCTTGGTCTGCTCAGAATATTTTTTGTAATTTGGTGGAGAGGTTCTGACCACTCGAAGAATTTCTTAGGCACTTGTCAGTGTGCTATCTCTGCCCATCAGGCCAAAATGCACTGTTCTCTACCCAGCTAGTTGGATTTTCCTTTCAGATGATTGATTATGCAGGATGGTTTACAACTTTACAAGAAAGCCAAAAACTTATGGTTTTCATATTTGTGGCATCCTCATTATTATTATTATTGTTATTATTAAGAAATGGTAAACTTCTAGTAAAATAACTGGGAGGTTGCTAAGATCACAATGGAGAGGCAAAAGTATAATCAATCAGTGAGCACTCTTAAGTGTCTGCTGTGTACAACATATGGCCCTTTTAGCCAAGAAGAGTAGGCCCTCACATATCCTGGCCATCCTAAAGACAGAGGTAGAGAGGAGGTAGATTGTGTCAGGAACAAAGAGATTAGTTTGCATAGGGAGAATGGAAAGCTGGTTTGGCGCCAGGTTGTGAAGGGCTTTCATAATCAGACTCTAGTTTATGCTTTATCCCAGAGGCAATAGGAAGCCACTGTAGTTTATTGAGTAGGGTAGAGACATGGCTTAAGGAAAATCACTTTCACAGCTGTCTAGTGCAGAGATTGGAGGAGAGACTTGAGGCAGGGAAAAGAACTAGATCATTGCAAAAGTCTCAGGGAGGGGTGATAAGGACCTAAACTAAGGCAGCAACCGTTCTAGTGGAGAGAAGAGGTGGGATCCAGAGATGCTGTGAAAGTAGAAACCACAAGATCTGGCAACAAGATCCCATATATGGGATGGGGAAAAGTGAGGAGCTGAGAGTGATGCAGCCACTACCAACCACAGAACCTAGAAGAATGGAATAGGACATGTTTGGGAGATGGGTGGATGTTGGAGAAAGATACTAAGTTTGGGTTTGGATATGTTGAGTTTGTGATGGCTTTTAACAAGTTGTATGACCTTGGGGAAAATACTTCCTCTTTTGGGGCAGCTAGGTGGCACAGTGGATAGAGCGCCAGCCCTGAAGTCAAGAGGACCTGAGGTCAAATCTGACCTCAGACTAAACACTTGACACTTACCTAGCTATGTGACCCTGGGCAAGTCACTTAACCCCAATTACCTAAGGGGAAAAAAAACGAATAAATTTGTTTTAAAAAGTCCTTTTTTATTAACTAGACCCCACAGACGCTCTTTTGTTTTACAGCTGTTTACGGTTCTTCTCATTGAAGTTCTTCTTTTGGCAGCTTATGGAGTGATAAGGAGACAAAACTTTCCCAGGAAGGGCATCCTATGTTATTAGGATTTACTGAACTGATCTAGATTGCAGAACCTACTGGGGAAAACTGTATTTTCCTTATAGAAAAGAAAACATTGGAGAAAGTAGGAGATATTCATAACACTCATTAGCTTAACATTTCCTTCCCTAAAATCTAAGCTCCTATAATTTTTTTTCAGAAAAATATTTGCTGAATTGAAGAATATCTATTTCATGTTGGAAAAATTTGTTCACATTCACTGTCAGAAATTTTGAAGCAGCTCTGAGAGGGTCAGTTTGGTGTAGTGCAAACTATGGCAACAGAGGCCTTAGCTTCCAGTTTTTGCCATTTTTCTAGTTGTGTGACCTTGGACTACTCATTTCCCCTCCTTAACTTTGTGTGTGTGTGTGTGTGTGTGTGTGTGTTTTAAAATTGTTTCATTCTTGGGTTTGTTTTTTTCCTTCAAAAAGGAGAAAGGAGATTGTTGTCAATTATGTCCTGCTTGTCTAGATGTTTAAATTAAAAGCAATTTTTTTAAAAATGGCATATTATTTCCTTATTATGAAATGTGCATAAGCTTACTTGTAGTATTTTTCATACAGGAATGCTGTGAGTCTCAAAGTGAGATAATGTGTGTAAAATGCTTAGTAACCTCAAAGTATTATGTGAATATCAACTCCCATTGTTACTTAATAAAATAAGCGCTAAATATATTAAATAAATTAGTACAGGGAAAGCACACTGATTCTGAATTCAAAGATACTGGACTCAAATTCTGCCTCTGATGCTTGCTACCTGTATGACTTTGAGAAAGTCACTTAACCTCTCTGAGGTTGTCTACTTATCTATAAAACAAGGGAGATGGAGTAAATAGCTTAAAAGGTTGCTCTCAGCTTTAAATTTATGATCTTAATAGACACAGTGATATGTACCGGCCGCGCTGACCTTTTGCCGGCCGCGCCATACACTCTCCTCCTATAAGGAGCAGGCTGCCAGAGTCATACTACTTACCAGTCTTCAGAGCCTACCCGGATACACACACACAGAGACGAACCCATCAGGAGGCTGCCAACACCCGAGCTTTATTCAGAGGCCATCACAGCAAGGCCAAGCAGGAAGGCCTAGCAACAGAGCAGGAGCAAAGAGAGCATGCGCTCCCCACCGCCACCGTTCCTAAGTCCTACTCTGCCCCTCCTCCTCAGCCCGCCTACTAGACAATGATTGTAGGGTCAGATACCGGAAGGGGCTGTCTGAATTTAGCGCACCAAGGGAGAGGGAGTGACGCAGGAGGCCAGGACCGGATACAGGAAGGAGGCGTCTGGGATTAGTGCATAGACAAAGAGTACGTGACCTAGGAAGTCAGGCCCAGATACCTGGAGGAGGCGTCTGGGGTCAGTGCTACACAAAGGGAAGGTACGTGACCCAGGAAGTCAGGAAGGACACAGGAAGGAGGCATCTGGGGTTGACGTTGCATATAGGGAGGGGACTAAGCAAAGGGAACTCATCCTCTGCCATCCCACTCCCACGTGGCACAGCCCTTTGCCTCAGGAGAGCATGCTCTGGCTACTTCCTTGTATACTGTACCTTCCCCAGCTTATCTCACGTAGCACTGCCCACTGCCTCAGGGCTTCTCCGAATCCAGACCATCCCAGTACACCACAACTCCGCCTACCACAGCCCCTGCCTCGGTACTTCCAAATACCCAGATCTTACCCCAATCTTGCCACAACGTCCACCTGGCAGTAGCCAACATCAGACAGTCCCTCACAGTGATAGAGATGAAGAGAAAAAGGTTGAAAAGGAAAAGGGATGCTACCAAGTACCCCTAGGGGACAATTCAAATTCTCCCTTCAGGACCCAAGTTGGGAAGCAGAACCTAAGGGGAATCAAATGAAATCAATGAATATTTATTGAGAGGCTACTATGTGTAAGGAATTAGGCTAGGGGAAAGTATAAAAATGCAAATATCTGCCATTGATAAGTTTACAGTCTAGTTGGGAAGATTGAAAAGTGAAATAATTAAACATTTGCTTCACCTGGCTGACAAGACTGAAGGTCTCATACAAGCTATCCCAAGGAAAAAAACAAGTTCACCACTCCCTCTCACCCAAGCCAAATGTCCTGAAGAAGTACCAGATCAACAGGGGTCAGGGCAAAAGGTATGACCAGCTGGGTTGGACAGACAGCTATGTGTCTAGGTTTACCCTTCAGCTTGGGCTTCATGCTACATGTGATAATATTTTTGCATCCCAGGGCTGTCTTTGCTCAAACCTATACTAATCATATTTCCCCTGTCTAGACCCCCATTCCAAAAATGAAACAGAGTGGGAAGAGAGGTGTTATATAATAGACTTTTTCCACAACAATCTTATAACACAAATAGCATATTGTTGTTCCCATTTTATTATTTAATATTTATATTTACATATAAATAATTTTATATATAATTTTAATATTTAAGAAACTAGGACTCAGAAACTCTGACTTTAGGATAACTTTTGGTAACATTGTAGTGGAGTGAAAAGGGCACTAGTCAAGATTTTGAGTTCCATCTCTGATACTTACTAGCTGTGTGACCTTAGATAAGATTTTTAACCTCTGAATCTCAGTTTCCTAATCTATAAAATGAGTATGAAATATTTGCCCTACCTACTTCTCAGGGTTTTAAGACAAGAAAAGCACTTTAAACCCATTATTATGTAGATGTTATTCTTGTTGTTAGCATT